AAAAAAACACCAAAAAAACAAAAACCCAAAGACAATATGCAATTTATTAATTATTGTAACTATACTAGTAGCCTATTTTGAAACTATCTTATTGCTACTTTCTCAATAAAATTAAAATATAAAAACAAAAAAATTAAAAAAAAATATTTCTTGTTCTCACAAAGCTTAGGCTCAGGCTGTACAGGAGCCACGGCAGGGTCCCTGCAAAAGGAGGGGAATTCTTTAGTTGGGTCCAGCTAGTGCTTGGGATCCGCAGGCTTGGGGGTAAGGACACCATGTGGTGCCCTGCCTGTGCCCTGTGCCCAGAACACAACCCTGGGTGACCTGGAAGCATGGGCCCAGTACCTCAATTCTGTGGCCTGCTCACACAGATATTCAAGACTAAAAGGACCTGAACTAGGGGAGGGAGCCTCCATACCTGTACCAACCAGCTTGATGGCTTTTCTTCCTCATGCCACACTGCATTCCAGGATTCGCACTGCATGTTGGCACAACTCCCTGCATCCACCCACTATGAGCCTGTGTCCCCAGAGCTTTGCTTCCTATAGCCCTTACACTGTAACTCTCCCAGGTCCTGGGACCCAGTACCACTCAACTGCTACACTGAGCTGGATGTGCTGGTGCATACCTATAATCCCAGCACTCTGGGAAGCTTGGCAGGAGGATTGCAAGTTCTAGTCCAACCCAGGCAACTCAGTGACTTAGTGAGACCTTGTTTTAAAATTTAAAAAGGGCTGGGGACATAGCTCAGTGCAAAGGGTCCGGGTTCAAATCCCTAGGACAAAAGAAAAAACACTGCAACTGTGTACCTGCTTCATTCGCAGCGCCTGTATTCTACGCACCGTGTTAGACTTTTCTCAAAGCAAATACCCTTAATTCAAGGTTTCCTGCTTATTACATGCCCCTGAAACTTTCTGCACTGTCCCACCAACTCTAGCGTATTTTTTCCTCAGTGCAGTGGCTTGAACTAGGGTCTTCTGCATGCTACACCTTTAGCCCACATTCTGGTACTTACCCTCTTGGATCATCACCTTCCTGAGAATGGCTTTAAGACCTGACTTCTTTCTACACAACAGAATATGAAAACATGAAGGGATTCTGCACATGTAATTAGGGGCACAAGTCAGTATTCTCATTCAGGATAAAATTACACAGGATATTAATTTTCCTTTTATAAAAATGAGTTAAAACTAGCCAGGTATAGTGGTGGATGCCTATAACCCCAGCACGGGGGAGGCTGAGCCAGGACTGGTGTTAGATTCAAGACTGGCCTGAATTATATGGCGAGATCCTGTCTAACCAAATTTAAAAAGACTCATTAAAACTAAAATAAGCTCCTTATTTTTCTCCGGAATAGCCTATGAACAAGTTTAAAAAAAAAAAAAAAAAAGTTGATTCAGGGGCTGGAGAAGATAGCTTAGAGGCATAAGGACCTCCCTGGCAAGCAGGACACAAGTTCAATCCCTAGCCCTGCATGGTGTATGCGTGGGCTCCCCGGGCACGATGTGTTGGCCTGGTCCCCAGGCATGCCTTCTTGGCCCAGAACTCCAGGCCTGCCATGTTGGCCCCTGCACCAGGCACGGTGGCCCATGCCCATGACCTCTGCACTCAAGAGGTTGAGATGAGAGGATCACTGCAAATTCAAGAACATCCTAGGGGCTACAGAACTGAGCACAAGACCTGCCTGATTTGCATAGTAAGACCACGTCTCAAAAACATAGCTTGTTGGGAGACAAGATGCTCTGCACATCAAAATATCACTTACAAAATCACTTGTTGTATTTTCTGTAGTGCTGGGGGTGGAACCCAAGGCCTCACCGATGCCAGGGGTGCGCTCACCACTGAGGTGCATCACCGCCTGGAAGTCACTTTCTTACCTATGAGGAGTAACTTGTATTTAAAATTGGGTGCTCTGCCAAGTGCCAAAAAGCACCAGTAACAAAGAGGCCAGCATGAATGTGCCTCCCACGAAGCGAAACTGCAAGTACAAACATCACCTACAAAACATTTGTGTGTGTGTGTGTGTGTGTAACCGGGGTTTTGAATCAGGCCCTTGTGCTTACCAGGCAAGCGCTTATTCTACCGAGCCATTTCCCCGGCCCCACCTACAAAACATTTCACAAAGGAGCTGACAACCAGGAGTCAGTTTTATTTATTTATTTTTTAAATTTTTTTTTTTGGGGGGGGCCTGCTTAGCCCACCCTGAAGACGGAGCTGGAGCAGCATGTGGTATTGGGGATCAAACCATAGTCCCTGCGCCTGTGTAAGCTTGCCTACACAGGCACTTTAGACCGCTGAGCTATCTCGCCGGCCCCCAGGAGTCAGTTTTATCACACTCGCTACCTTCTCTCTTCAGTGTGACGGCTTTCATGTACTTTGAAGAGATGGAAGTAAAGACTTTGTCACATCATGTGTTTTCATGTTTTCCACCAGGACTGAGTAACACGTGACTAGTAAGAGATAACTGCAAGCAGACTTAAGTGGCTATGAGGTTTTATGAGTTCGTATGTGATTATTGCGACTTGAGGAATACGTGAATGCCTTCCCGCATATCTTACATTTATAAGGCTTCTCGCCAGTGTGTGTCCTTCGATGCGCCGAGAGGCTTGAGCAATGAGTAAAGCTTTTGGCACAATCCTTACATTTATAGGGATTTGCCCCAGTATGAATTCTTGCATGTCTGCTGAAGTCAGAAGATGTGGCATAGGCTTTCCCACACTCCTTACATTTATAGGGTTTCTCTCCGGTGTGAGTTCTGATGTGTGTAATAAGACGGAAGTACCTAGCAAAGGCTCTCCCACACTCTTCACAGACGAAAGGCTTCTCTCCAGTGTGAGTTCTTCTGTGAGCAACGAGGCAGGTGAACGTAGAAAAAGTTTTCTCACAGTCCTGACAGGCATACAGCTTCTTTCCATTGTGGGACTGCAGATGTTTGGTGAGGCCTGAAGACTGCGTGAAGGCTTTTGCACATACGTGACATTTATAGGGTCTGAAGCCAATGTGAACTCGCATGTGCTTCTTAAGGTAGAAGGGATTTCCAAAGGATTTTTTACACTCTTTGCATTTGTAGGGTTTCTCTTTGATGTGAATTCTCTCGTGTTTGGTTAGGTATGAAGAAAGGGCGAAGGTCTTCCCGCATTCCTTACATTCAAAGGGTTTCTCTCCACGATGAATTTGTAGATGCTGAGAAAGACCCCAGCACTGAGAGAACACTTTCCCACATTCTGTACATTTATAGGGTTTCTCTCCAGTGTGGGTTCGAGAGTGCTTACGAAGGTAAGCGGGGTATCTAAAACTTTTTCCACACTCCTTACATTTGTGAGGATTTTTTACTTTGATACCTCCTGGATGCATACCACAGTCTGTGGACAGACAAAAACTGTCCTCGTATTCCCTCCATTCATACAGACTCTCCCCACTGGGAGTTCCCATAGGGGCCTGAATGTAGGACTGGTTCACACTGGTATACTCATGGTCGCTGTGATCAGAGGGTTTTTCTGGCACACGCGTTCTTTCATACACAGCATTTGCAGATGGGCTGAAGGCTTTTTCATGTTCATTCAGCTCCAAAAATTTCTCCCCAGTAGAGGTTTCCATGTTTAGGGTGAGGAAGTCTTTTCTGTATTGATCACACTTGGATCTGTTCCCCGGCTTCTGAGTCCCTGTGTGTGTCTTAAAACACGACTGTTGAAGTTCACCAACGCTTTTCCTTCTTTCCTGTTGATCAATAGAGGACCGAAGAGTAAAGAACATTCTTTCTTTCTCAGGGCTGAGGCCAGAACCTCGAGCCTCACGCATGCTAGGCAAGTGCACTATCACTGCGCTACACTCTTAGCCCAAAGTACAGTATTTGAGGATGGCACTGATTCTTCCCATCATGTCACATCCACACGGTCCTACCTTGCGTGCTTTCCCCCACCCAAGGGCCAACCGGGGCTGATCCTGCTTAGCTTCTGAGATCAGACAGAACCCCTGCCTTCAGTACACAGCTACTCTCATGCTGCTTCCTTTATATTTTACTTTTTATTTTTTGTTGTTTCCTTTAAAACTGAACAATGGAGCATTATTCTAGGACTTTAAAGCACGCTCTAATCTTAGATTTTTAAGAAGACTGTCTACTACTGGCAACTCTGAAAAGCACTCTGGGGCCTCTCCAGATTCATGCTTCCACAGTATTCCTCCAAACACTGCTCCTCCGTGGGTGGAAGCTGGTCTTCTCATTTCTCCCTCATTTGGGCTGGATTGCTAAAACAGAATTCTTTTTTTTTTTGCCTGTTGAGCCCCAAGGGTGGGGCTGGCGCAGCATGTGGTGCCTGGGATAGAACCATTGTCCCCTGCGCCCGCCTAAGCTTGCCTAAGCAGGTGATTTATACTGCTGAGCTATCTCGCAGATCCTAAAACAGAATTCTCAACCCTGTCTTGAGGATAGGCAATCTTACCATGTGTTGCCCACCGGAGCTCTGTTCCATCAGAAATTCTGGCTGATGTATATACTCACTGGTGCTAAGTCTCACTGCACATTCTGAAGATGAACAGAAGCACAACACTAAGGTTTGGAGAAAGAAATGGCCCAGTAAAAGACTTTAATAACAATAGCACTGATATGTTTGTTTTCAAATTAAACTTGGTTAAGAAAATTTTTAAATTTTAAAAAACTGAAGTTTAAGCAGTTTGTCTAGATCAACAATTAGGTAATGCTATGGATGGGACCATAATTTTAAATAGTTTGTTACAAGTTGATTCCTTAAAAATGAAAGTGATGCATACACACACATACATACACACACACACACACCCCTTTTTGGCAGTGCTAACAATGGAATTCAGGGCTTCACACAAACTAGGCAAGAATTCTAGCACTGAGACCACCACCAGCCCCAAGATGAATATTATTAAGTGCAGAAAGAACTCAAGGTCTGGACAAAGAAGATACTAAAATGATAAATTATGGTTGGACATGGTGGTACCTGCTTATAATCCCAACACTTGGAAGGTGAGGAAGGAGGCTCACTCCAAGTTTGAGACCAGCCTAGACTTATCTAGCCAAGTCCCTGTCTCTGAACTAAACACCAACTAAACAACTAAACTAAACAAGTAATAAATTTGGGCTAGCACTGTAGTTCAGTCATAAAACATTTGTCTAGCATGTGTAAAGTCCTAGGTCCAAGGGCTAGGGAGATAGTTCAGTAGCACAAGCACCTGCCTGGCAAGTGCAAGCCAAGTTTGATCCCCAATACCACAAAAAAAAAAAAAAAAAA